CCATTGACCCACTACTCGTTTAATATCTGTTATATTGCAATTTGAAAATCATTATATTGTTTCCTTCTATTTGTCGTCGTTCACATTAATAATTGCTGTAAACTTCGTGATTTTATGATTAGCTTTCAGCTTCAATAAAACCATTGTCTCTAGAACCAGAACCAGTTGTAATATTAATGTGTATTTTCAGTTTAGTACAGTTGTACTTGGAAATATTTCTCTTTGTCAATTAGCAACAATACCAGGTCATTCAATAAAGAACGTTAATTAAAGACTGAAGTAACAGCCCCTAAATTTTTCAGAACGATATTCTCAAAATATGTATACACAACAGCAACTTTGGTGGCTGCTTATCAGTCAACTGCTCTCCGCTGTGAGCTGTGCCACAAAACTAACGAATGTCATTTTGTACACTACACCACATTAGTAATTCACAAAGTGCCAGTTCTGACGTATGTAATGGTTTAGTTTATTACGTTGCATTTATTTAATTCATTAAATATGTGAAGACATCTTTTTAGGATACCTGTAATTTTTAAGATTTGTGAACTAACTTTTTTGATTTGAAAATATTTTTCCTGTTGTACTTTATTATGTTACGGATTGCTGTAATATTTCAGCGTTCTCGTTCGATAAAAACATTAGGGTCTTTGACCGTATCTCTCTCAAATAATCGATTATATGTCGTTTTAATAAGCAAGCGTCTAGCAAGGTCTATTACAGCTGACCGCCTCTTTGTTCGGTCTGTCGTAGTGTTTTGTGGACGTAGACTGTGATTAATTGCGAAGTGCTGGATGTCGTGGTTATGCTGTGCTATACTTCAGGAAACCTTTAAAACGATATGTTTAAAGAAAATTATTTAACGAAACTTCTCACAACTTCCCCAAATAAAATATATTTCTGAATTTCACGTAACGATTACTTCGTCATCATATTGATTTAAAGTAAGATTTAACGCCTCAGCAGGCAAAAATAATTCTTTGCAGGATTAAGAATTGTTTCTCACCTTGAATTTATACTCTCGCCGTTCAACTGAAAGCCTAAGAGCGAGAACGCATCTGGGGTCATTAGTCAATTCTTAATTTGTCTAATTGACATTTCTCGTTGTTTCTCTCAACTCTATAGAAGAATACCGAAGTAACAAATAATCTCATATCCTGAAGAAGGGTTTATAACTCGAAACATGTCGTCGCAAGTGAATTAAATACAAGACACAAGTGAAATTGTATAAACAGATAATAATGTTTAAGATAAATGTCACAACATGACTCTCTTATATAATCTTAGAGCAAACAAATTTTAATAAATTCGATCCACGTTTGTGAAATTCAAACTTTTATAATCTTGTAAACATACAAACTAACAAGCTGGACGATGGAAAAATGCGTTGTCCTTGTTCATGGCGAAGTTCAGAAATAATACAACAGGAACAGTTTGTGGAAGATAAATAACCAATAAACAAGCAGCCAATTTAATATGGAACAACATTGTGTGACTTCTGCTTATTTTGCTGTTCGTGCACTAAATAGAATCATGCCATAATATATTATTCATTATAGATCTGCGTAAACCATTTTGGCGACACCGTCTCAGTAGGCTGCACTTCATAAATAAAACTCCGTTTGATCTTATTCAGGCACTTCTCTTCGAAGTTTTAGCATCGACAGTTACAAGTTTGCTCTGAGTTGACTAACATCGTACGTAGAATTTCATTTCAAAGTTTGTTGCAGAATGTAGATCAGACGGAGTTACAGGAGTAGTGATGGTGGTGGTGGTGGTAGAGCAGTCGCTTCGATGGGCATGAAAACTCATCTATAGTTTATGTCTGCTGGTGATGTATGCCAGCTTCGGACCGGAAGATTCCAATAAATCGGGCTTGATTGCGGGTTATTGAAGCATGCGACACTAGCTTTGTGCACTGGGGATCGTCATGAATGTCTTTAAAGAAAGTACAATATTGTATGAACCAGCTCATTTGGAATATATATAAAAGCTATATTTTATTCCCCGATTTCTGATCCAAATATGTAGTACAAAGTCGTTTGTAGTGGTTTTATTCCGAAACTGATTTGTATTAATAAACATCTTTCATATAGAGACCCTAACAAAATCTTATAGACGGATATAATCACACCATTATTTATTATACTGATATTTTCTCTAAGAACGTTTATATGAATAAGCTTCGAATGTTACAGTAGTTGTTCTAATTATTTTTATACTAAAACTTGTACAGTTCTTACTTAAATACACATTTTTAAATTTGTTTAGGTGAGAAGTATTTTAGGAGTTTCAATTTTGTGTCATATTAAAAGTGTAGCAAGAAATCTCTACTTAATATTGCATACTATGGACCGAGAGGAAAGATTGATTATACTGATTAATGGTCAAAGGAAATTTCATGTTTGTTACATTTTTGTGTTCTCTATTTAGATACATGGTTATATCGTACTTTATTCGATTTAGCTGTAATTCCCGGGCAGGTTCAATACTTATTAGAATTTTACGGGCAGCGAATAATTTTCGACATGCTCATTTATATTCGAATGCATTTTAGATTTTTAATTCTAGAGGAAATGTTCAGTATAAGTCATTATAGAGATTGGTTGCGTTATGGACGACCAAGAATGGATTCCCAGAAGGGCCAGTGATTTTTCTCTTCGCCACACGACTCTGGAGCCCACCGGGCCTCCTATTCGAAGGTAACGGGTAGTTTTTGCCCGACTATAAATCGTAAAGCCGGCCACTCTCTTCCAAATAATACTGAGTCTAAGAATTCATGGAAATTTGTCTTCGTGGTATAATGCACAGAGAAGACGTAGACCTTTCTTGATTAGATTAATCTTACCACATGTTCTAGATTTCCGACTAGATGTTTTTTAAGGCGATGTCTAGAAATTCAGAATGCGTGGAAACACTTGTAGAAATTTAAGTGGATATATATGTTACGTATGATTACATTTATTTAATTACTACACCTGCGCAATAATTTAACTGCTCGAAAGTTAGGTTTAAATATGACAGTTTCAAAGTTTCAGCTGAATAATGCAGGCCTAATCAGTACACAACGTGAAAGCACATATGTCTCTGTTGTGAACTGTACATTCAAATTTACGTGGCCATTAATGCTATCACATGATTGTAAAACTTAATGTCCGTCATTTTTACTGGAAGAAATGTCACTAATACAAAAGCAAATGCTGACGTAATAGACTTGTGACTTCTGTACGAGGCAGCAAATACTAAAGACAGTTTATTTCCCAGAGCATCCAGCTCTGTGACGTTTGTCGCTGGTTACTGAAGTCAATAGCCATTGAACAAAAGGCGACGATAGTAATAATATGGCTCAAAGCCATTGTGAACATGATAATCGCCGTGTTGTTTCTCGCCGGAAGCAAATCAGACACATGTATCAAAGAAGGAAAACTGAGAGGTTATGAACTTGGGAACGTCAGCAGTGAGTTTTGATGTTTTGTTGCTTTTAATCAGTTAACCGAGAAACATAATTGGACTAACCGCGTTGTTAACTTTTGTAATCAAGGTTGTTACGCGTTCCTTGCGAGAAAGCATTGTGGGCTGGTCGTGTCTGTCCAGTCGATTCAACTCTATAACCACTGGACGGATTTTGATGAAATTTGTTGCTGAGGTTGCGCTATTCTGAACCACGACCTAAAATTTCGTATTTTTTAATATCCTACGATCGGTGATAACAAAATGACAATTGACTGAAGTAATGAAGTAGACATTGAGGTGCTGCGTTTTGGTGGCCAAAATGGGATCTATCAAGCAATATGGATTTAACATCTCTGAATGCACGTCGCAGAGAACTCATGAGGATAATATGTATATTCCGGTTCCGAAAACTCTTTCCGAGCTTATATGCTTAACTGCTACTGCGAAAGCCAAACAGTTGAAGAAATGTCGGCAATCCCGACGTCCAAAAATATATAATTTTCGCTTCTGGTAAGAAAGGGTATAGTGTACTACATGTTTTTTTCCCAGACAACCTGCCCTCATGATTTCGAGAGTTTTTTGTACATCCCTTGCATGTTTGAAAAGAAGGGCCTTGTTTTAATAACTACCTCATAAATAATAAATGCAATGTAAATTTGCTTATAAAAGAAAATTGTGGCTCTCCTAGTTCAATATTTTACAGGATATACGAATACACGCAATAATATGCTTTGGAGCTCTTACGATCTGTCCGTGAGAAATTGTTTCAGTGATTCCATGCGCGATCAATGAAAGCCAATTGTCAATAAAGCATTTTTACTGAACAAACTTAAATTTGGTACATGGAAATTGCTTCGTGTTTTTGCTCTTTCATGAGATATATTTATTCCAAGATAAAACTCACTTATTTATTTTGAAAGAGATAAAAAACGCGAGTCCTTGAACCGAAGTCTGAAACAACATTCGGCAACCGTAGAGACCCTCGGCCCAACCCTTACAGGGCAACAGTAAACTATCTTAACTTGGTTAAACTTATTCTGCTTACGTCTGCGATCTGATTTTCGAAACAGTGCAATCTGTTTGAATTTGCATGTCACAAACGTATGCTACTGTGCATAAATAGGTCAAAGATTCAAGCGCGTGTTTGTCAGCCTGAGCTCCCTTAATGCCTCTTGTAGGTCATATACTTGAAAAATATTAGTTTTGGAAATTTGGAAATTATAGACATGACTTATTTTAATACTTTCGCTTTCAGGATATTGAAACAAAAGTACTGAGCTTGCATGTCAAAACATCACATAAAATGTGAATTGTACAAAGAACGCCAGTTTAAAATCGTTCTTTAGTAATGGAAAAATTGAATAAAAATATATCGGAAGATTGCTTTTTTCTGTAAACCCACTTATAAACATTTTAGCCTATTTTTCTTTTATTAAGAAAATAAAATAGGATTTTGAGGTCACCATATTCTCTTTGCATGTGTCTACATGTTCTCGTTTCAACTTTGAAGTGACTGACTAGATGTCGTGGAATTATATACTTTACAGACTTACAGCAGTCATGAAAGAGGACGAGAATCAACCATCAGATGTAATTCCACGAGTGTAATACCTCTTCTCTTTGGAAACCTGCCTAATGGAGCTGTACTCAAAGAACAAAGTACCTCCGTCTATTAAACTGAAAACGTATCTGCACGTGTTTCAGCACTGCAGTCAAAAAGCTTTGTCGCAAAAGGGCCGAGCTCTTTTCTTTGAAAAACTGTAAGACAGGAAGACAAAAGAATATAAACAATAATTATCAGAATATAATCTGATCCAAATCCCTTCGTGGATGCAATTCGGATTTGTTACTGTTACGAAATATTTGGGACTTTTCATAATTTTTAAAGGGTTTATGAACTATATTTATGTTATGATTGTGTTTTGCATCCCTCGTGACGAGGCATGAATATCGACTCAAGTTTTTTCTGACTGTTATTTTAAACCTTGTTCTTACTGGCGTTAAATAAATCTGTACCTTTTGCATTGTATGAATATTTATGTTTTTTATCCAATAAGTTAATATCATAGTCAAGGAAATGGAAACTTGTGAACTTCTTTTAAATTGTTGAGAGTTAAAAATGTAACCTGTATATTTTGCGGTTTCAGCCGTTTTCATAAAACCTTTTATTTCTGCCATTGTCAATAAAATATCTAGTATATCGCTTAGTTAAGCCTTCTCAAGATAATACTGAGTGTCCCTAAGGGATGGGGCTACAGGAGAACTGTTATTAAAACAAATACTGAAAAATATAAAGAGAAAAAAATTGTCGCAAAAGATGTATTTCCAATCTGAAGTGTTAGAAGTTTTGACCTAGAACAAACCGTTATGGCGTTACACTGTTTACATTATCAACAATGAAAATTTAAGGCGATGTTACCACATTCAAATGGCAGTGGAAAGGAAATGTGTTTCTATAGTAGGGAGAAGCAGTAGTGAAGAAGACATTGGGGTACTGCAGAAAACTCTGGAAACATATTCCTCTTTTGCTGCCATGCAAACGTAACAAAGTCGTAGTAGTTGTTATCAAACACTTGAGACCGGAACAACTTTCGCCTTTTTTATATTTCCTTTTTTTTAATAACCGATTTCTCCTATGGCCCCGAACTTATGACACAGATATTGTGGTTGAAGGCACCATTGACTGCTTATGGTTTCATTGTGCGAAGCCTGTATTTTCTATGGGCGATTAAATGTCATATTTATAGTAGTAATTTTATTAGGTTTTTAATTATCTTAACAATATCTTCAACTTCTTGTTTATGGCCTCAAGTATCGTGCTGTAACAAAAATACCCAAAATAACAGCGATAAATGTTATATTGGAATTAGTCTAGTAGTAGCCTAAAAATATAGATCTTGGTATAGAAAACAGTGGCACAACGTTGGGTAAGAGAACCTATGGAAACGTCTAAATATTTGTGTTCTTGACTCTCTGCTGGCGTTCTGTCGTCTGAGGAAATTCGATTAGAAGCATAATAGAATACGACTCGACGAATTATTGAGTTTACAAATTGTAAAGTTTTTTATCGGAAGACTTAAATATTGGTTTAAACGGAGCGCAGTTGTCCGATAAGAGTTTTTCTTCATCTCTCTTGTTGTTTTCTGATTCTCCTTGCTGCTTCGACGAGCCAACTTTTGAGCTGTAGATAAGAAGAAGAGATACATTAAACAACGTGCTATGCGCAGATGAACAACATCTGTTCTCACATGTTTTAGTTTACTTTCTTATACTGTCTCAGATTCTTTTTAAGAGCTCCCTTAGATATCGATTTTCTCGCACGTTGCTCTCATCGATGTGCATCCGAAATATGTGATGAATAAAAGTGAAGTTTATAGTAGGGTTTTCAGTAAGAACAGTTATGGTATCCATAAATTTAAGAATTCCAGATAATCAGTGGAATATACCGCAATCAATCGCTATCCTGAACCACATAAATCCACCTTCCCACCATGATTTCCTTAAAATTAATTTTAATATTATCTTCATATCGCCGATCAAGCCTTTCGAGTAGCTGACTACTTCAGAATTTCGACAAAAATTTTGTGTGCATTTCTTTTTTCCTTTGTCCACCTTGTTCTTTTATTAATATTTGATGAAAAGTACAATTTAAACGTTTCGTAATTATACAGTCCATTCAGTACCATTTGCTCTCCGTTTCTTAGATATTTCTAATGGCGTGTTTTTATAAAGCGAAGCTGAAACCAACTTACTGTCTCCATCTTTAGAGCTTTATATGTTGCAATAGTGGTTAAACTGAGAGCAAGTCCAAGAAGATGAACTGTCGGAGAAAAAACAAAAACTTCTTGTCTTGTAATCGGAATACAAATATACTTTACGAAACACAAATAAGGTGTTTGCTCTGTCAAGGAAATGATCTGAAATTGTGTAGTTACTAAAGATTTGTTTTTTAATTGAAATTCTGAACTGTACGAACATCACGTCATCTTTATATGCATTAGAAGTTGATAACACTTTATATAGCTTACGCTGAGAGTTGTTAACTGGGCGTGGTGGCAGTAGATCATCCTTTGTCATATTCTGAGCTAAACGAAGGTGATGTTAAGAGCTGATGACACGTGCCCTAAGTACCACAAATCGCAACGTAAATCTAGCCGTAAAACCCTCCGCCTTGAGAGTCATGTTTCATTTATACTAAAACTCTGCTGCTCGTGGACAAAGGCGAAATATCTGGAGCGATGGTTCAGATTTAAGATCGTCTCGAGATCTCACTCGCAGAAATAGTATGGTTTAGCAACTAGTTCTGTTTGTAACATTACTGTTCTTTATAAATCGGCGTATGTGACTATCATATTGTCTGTTACCTTTGTTGGGTGCTCGTGCACCGAATGCTTTGTAGTAACAGCTGTTTAGATTACACGGTACATTACAAAGGTAAGTTCCGATTCAGTGGTGTGAAATCTTCATAACGTTAACGGAGCGCACGAGTTTTGAGATCTGGTGTCTCATGGCGGCAAGTATGCGAATGACTGTCTTAAGGGTTAGTGCGGTTTGCAGTCTGGCAGACGTTTACCTACGTTATTCATTGTCCTGATGACGGAGGCAGCAAGCACAGCTGAAATGTAGGTAAACTTCTATCATACTACACATTGCAGCATGTATACGTGTGGACACTGAGATCGCAGTTCTATAAAATGAGAATGCCGGTTTATGAAAGAGTGAAACCAGCGAAGATGGGGTTTTAATGACACATTAAATACAAAATTTCTGTGTGGAGACTTAACTAGGCTGGAATTTTCGTCTCTTATTTCTTTTGTGTTTACATGCACTATGTTCTTTTTAGAAAGAATTTTATTGGAATACCGTAGATTAACTAATCCTAGGAAATGCCTTTGAAATATTAATTCTGCCTCAAGTGCTGTGTGTTGGTTTTATTGCATAAACAGATTTAACCTTCATTTGAAGCAAATGATGAGTAAGACGAGCTCAAACGATCCAAACAACTGATGGATTTGAAGGGAAATAAACTCATACATGATGAGCAGCACTATACTTCAAACACGAAAGTGCTTAGGATATTTCAAGTGGAAACATCGAATGCATGCATATAGATGACGGGACTAGAGAAACGTTCAAAGTGATGGCTTTGATCGCATCTAATATCTAAACAAATAGCAAATTATACTACACTACAGAAGCGTCTGGCTGCCAGGTGTGTCGTTGGCCGGATAGTTTTAAAATTCAGTCACTTTACGCACTTCATGGAAACCATATCTTAAGGAAATCATATGATTCTGATTTTGATTCCTTTTTGTCATACTGGTGGGATGTAATAAAATGTTTTTTCAGATATTTTTTACCTTCAGAGAAACAAATGTGGCGATAGTACAAAGTTTGTAGGACAGACACTAATAGCACACTCAACACATGCTAGTTCGAACAGTTAAATAAATGAGAGAAAATTATATTTGTTGCATTCTGGAGTCATAATGGGGCGATGTTACTTTTTATAAGGATCCATTTTTACAGGACGAAAAAGAAAGACCCAGAAAAGACAATACAAATAATTTGAAAACAAACATACAGGAAAATTGAAATATATTTAATTCTACAAGTGATATCTCATGCCGAGTTGTAAATTCCGAAATCTGGAATAGGTACTATCGATTGGGCAGTTGTTCATATTTCAAGGGACGAAAAATTTGGAATACTATTCGAAAACAAATTTTATGTTAAATATCCTGTGTGTCCTGAAAAGTCTGGCATGTTAAGTACGCACGTGGTGCTTGTTAACTTATAAAATTAAATATAAATAACAAGTGTTGATTTAAGTAATAATTTCTGGGTCCTATTGAAAAGGATTGCGTATTGAGCCAAATACTTAATTTGGTAACTGAAGTTTGTAAGATAGCTTGCAAATGCCCTAATTTATTTTTTCTTCTTCTTCTTATTTATTTTTGTCTTATACTTATAAATATACACTTTCTTACGAATTTTAATATTTTGCAAGCAGATTATGCTCCCACGAAAATGTAAGACTTAATTTTGTTACTCCACGAATCACGAACTTCTGACTAAGTTGTACATCTTAAATCTAATTTTTAAGATGAGTCAGAATTTAAGTGAAGTGTCTGTAGTGTATGAACGTATATTTTAAAAGTAGAAAAATTGCGTTAAGGCGAGTTTGAGTTGCATTTTTTTTTTTACTTTGCCATTAACCTGTGCATTCTGTTTAAAAGAACTTCTCTATAACAATTTTATTTCACGATGACCCGAAATTGTAGGAATAAATCAAAATTAATAAAAGTGGTCCGTTATTTTATATATACTTGCGAAATTCGCGCAATAAACTGTGCTCAAATCTTAAGACGAAAGTGGAATAGTGTGACTTGTAATTAAAATAGGATTATATGTTCTGTAAGCCAGATTTTGAAGCCGAACTTCGTAGTTTCAAAACCAGTGACAAACTGAATCACTTAGAATCAAAAAACAAGATCAAATATTTACTTCTGTTTTATAGGAGAACCTGAAAGAAATTAGAAGAGAATGTAAACATCTGATACAGCGGATAAACTTTTCGAGCTAGTATACTTAAGTCTTCAGTGCATACTTCAGGTACTTAGGAATAGCTAGTTGCTTAACTGCCCGGTCCTTTCGCAAAGCTGTACAGTCACGATGCTGAAGTAT